CTAAAAACCCATTACGAAAGCTCAGCAGAAAGCCACAAGATTCATTCTACTGATCAACAATAGTACATTTCCACTAACAAGTCTAAGAAGTTACGATTACAAGAAAGTAAACCAGGAAAGCAAGTTGACCAAGCCAAAGAGAACAACTGTTCCTTCAGAAAAGGAATCAGCTCTGGCTTCAGGCATATCTAATCCCAATTTCTTATGATACCAGGAAGAGCTCTGAAGCCCAAGAGACTCCACAAGAGTGCTGTTAAACGTGTAAAGTCACTACCATTTTTATTTGGGTACTGTCTGTCAGCTGCTGCACGGTATAGGCATCTTCTGTGTTGTACTGCAGTAAAATTGCCATCTGGAATGTCGATGCCTTCCAGATCCCAAAAAGAGAAGGAAAGGGGAGGGAGGGAAGAAAAATAGAAAAATGAGTGAACATACATACATTCGGAATTTGAACAGCTTAAAATCCACCAGTGTGTACACATACACTGAATAGTTGGATAACGAAAAATATCCAACTAGTGCTAATAATACAGAATAGTCTGATATTTCTTACACCACCAGAACTCTGCATTCCAACATTATCTAAACATAAACTCTAAGAATATGGACATTCAACTAGCTGCAGACGCTACTTCACATTTCCTGCTCTGGTATCAAAGCCTTATCTTTCTTACTCGCTAATATTATTTTTTTAATATTTCTCCTCTGCCAGTCCCTGACTCTTACCCATTTACATCCTCATTAAAAACCTACATAGACTACTGAATCCTCACAACCCTCCCAACTCTAACAGAGTAATTAAACTAAAAGTATAAACAAGGCAGCCATCAGTGGCTCATTCATGTCTATCACCAGCAGGTTAACATATGTTGATCACACAAGTTCAAAGTCTGAGATTATCTTGTTTCTTCTCACTGTTATGAGCTCCTCTCCTCTGTCTACTTTTTGAGAGAATGCAGACAGGAAAGCAAGAGAAGTATAAGAACACATACAAAGGTTGCAGTGGTCTCATACAACCCAGTTCCACAACTGTTTAAACCACAATTTACTTCTGTAAGTCAATTTTCTTTTAAATGTAGATCTTAAGCAGCATTACAGTGAATAATTCAAGCATATAATAAAGGTTCTATGAATCTTAACAACCTCAGCTATCTGGGGAAGGCTAACAACATTGGTTCACTTCAGCAATACATCAAAGATTTATACCGAGCAGATCTTGCATCTGTACTTTGTTTTATTTAAAGCCAGTAGGATTACTCATGGGAGTAAAGCTAAATCAATGCACACAAGCATTTTAAACACCAGATAAACATATGTGTGCGTGTATATACATACATGTGTACCCACATGCACGTTAACTAAGGAATTCAATGATTTAAAATACTTAATGTAACACATCACTACATACTATTAACGAATACTTTGACATAAGAAGAAAACACAGCTCAACGCACTCTGTTACAACTAGTTTTGTGTGTTGGTGCAGGTGTTCGCATGAACTTCACTACTTCAGCACTAAGCACTTCATTATTTTTACTGCATTTACTGGCACAATGCTCCTGTAAGGTAGGGAAAAGCTATTATCTCCAATTTAGGAGTAAAGAGACTAAAGAGCTCATCCAGACAATGTAAGAGCAGTGCAGCAGAGACTGAACACGTCTTCCAAGCAATCAGCTAGCGTTCAGTCCTCTAGACAATGCAGTAATCAAGTGCTCCCGTTAGTATGATGTTATTCTTACCTGTAACGTGTATCTATTTTTGAAACAGTTGGTAACCAGTTCCCCTTTGGACAGCTGATACAACCATGTTAATTTTCTTCCACTATGACGACTGGCATAAAATGCTGTAAATCTCTGATAACTCCGTTCTAACTGTATGGAAACAACAGCAACAAAGATTAGCTTCCTTTACACTTCTGTTCTAGAATATGCTCCCAAACCTACCACAAGAGAATCAAATCAGGTAACTCAACTGCCATGTTTTCTAGGAGAGACAAATGGAAACCCAAATTCTTCATATTAGATGAAAGCTTCCCTTTGTGGTGAATTTCTCTTTAAAAAAAATCATTAACAATAAAAACCTAAACAAGGGCAAAGGTTCCAGTCTTCCTTTATGATAGGTTAGGCAAGGCTACAAAGAGAGTTTCTTTTAACCACCTTAAGTAAATGTTGTTAAATGGAGGATTATTTCTCATGTTAAGCATGTCTTGTCTATTCTGGATAAACACTCGATAGAAAACTAATGTTTACTTTTTGAGGAGTTTACCGGACTGAAGTTAACCGCTAGGAAAAAAATAGTGTTTGTTAAATAAAGGCATACACAGAAAAATAACAAAGATTTACTTCAGTTACTGTTCAATGTTTGGAAGAAAGATTCATTAATCTTGGTCTTTCCATCAGAGACAACAGTTTACTTTTCAGATAATTTCCCCCTACTACCCGAATGACTTGTCTCCTTCCAAACATCCTCCAGTCAAAAAGGAAAACTAGATAAAAACAGTCAAAACAAAAAAATTCCAGCCCTCTGACACACAAAAAAAACAGGAGGAGAAACCAGCAATCTTCTTGCAAAGTAATTCCCTCTTAAGCGCTAAAGGGCATCGCCTCACCTCAGAAGGCAGAGCAAAGGTGCAGGACTGCTGAAACGGCCACGATCCAGAGCTCAGGACCTGGATGCTGAAGTCCACTGGAAGAGAGGGGCAGGCAGATTAATAGGCTTAACCACACTCTCTTCTTTGGGTCCACCCTCTTTTCAACCATGCAGTTTCACAGTTCTAACATAAACCAGCAGAAAGGGTTCTGTCCTGCTCAAACATGGTGGAAATCATAAAATAATATAAAAAACTTTTTATCCAAAGTGTAAGAGTAAAACAAAAGGAATCCATGTAAGACGAAGGTGCTCTTGGGTAACATTAGAGTTACTGTGACAGTAACTAAATTTTCTCTGATTTGCAGAGATCGCTACCCTGTTTCTACCCCCAGGAGAGATTTTTCTCTTTTAATTTGCAAACAGGAAAAAAAAAAAGATAGATTTGCTTATTTTTATGCGCAACTGTAAACTCGCCAGCCTACATTACACATTGCAAAGAATAAAATTTTCATGTTCATGTTTGTAAGGCATCTGGGGCAAGTCAGTAAATACACTATAAAACAAATAAATAAAAACTAAGCCTGACAGCATAGTCATTCAAATGATAATCACCAGTTTCTGAAAGGATTTGGTTCAATAAGCTTCAGTGAAAAAAATTTCTTCGTAAGAAAGAAATAGGGCTACCTACTGATCTGAATGAGAGCACCCTTTTTCTTAATGTTTCCATTCGAGTCTGATTACCTAAGCCAAGTTGTGTTCAAAAGCAAGCCCTTTTCAACAAAAACATCTTTCCAATCATAAAAAAAAAACCCGACAGAATTCAACTTAACTTAATTACCTACCTAAAGATGAGTTGCAAATTCAGGAGGAGGCTACCCGTAACAGAAGATATAAAGTGCTATTAGAAGATAGAGCACAGACCTAAAACATTAATTTAAACACCCTACCTATCTTGGTCAAAATATTAATAATGGTAACTTTGTTGGGGCATGATGTGTAAATCAAATATTTCTGTCATATACTTAGCTTTTCTGTGTAGAAATGAAGGGAAGCTAAACTACTTAACAGTAATGCAGATTCTGCAACAACAGCTAATTATAAATGTATTACTTACAATCTAATGGTTCTGAATTGGTCAGGTGCTTTTTAAATTGCTCATTCAAGTCCTTGCTTACACCAATATCTTGAAACATCCGCTGCAGCTTGGAAGTGTACTCAAAACCACAAGCTTGCTGCATTTTAAAAGCACAGATATGTCAGCAAGACCATACATTTTGACACCGAAGAATGAAAAAGTACAGAAATCCATTTTCTTAAAAGCAGATGTACAAAGTTCAGTATTTCTCTTACTCAAAGTACTGACCCCAAACTGGACAAGGGCTATTTCACTGGCACCAAAAACAGGAGAAGACAATTTTGGAAAAACAAACAAACAAAAATAAAACCCCCACACCCACACACAATGAACACACTACTAAAAGACTGTTAGACTTTATTTGGCTCGACTCCTGTACCAACAAGGGTTAATGGAATTAAGCAATATGACTGGCAGCATTTCAGCAGTCGTTCATTTGGATAACGTTGTTTATGTAATTTATTTGCATTAGAATTAAAATTATTCCATCAGACAGACATATACGTCTGTCAAAAGTGCAGAGGTCCTATACTTTTCTAGCATATGTAACAAAATCTGAATAAAATCCTAATATTTTGGAAGAACATACGTCAATACTTTCCAAGATATTGCGAAGATCTAAAATATGGCAGGTCATGGGACAATCAAGGAATACTTACTTTAAGTTTGGAGATCATGCTTGCCTCAGCATCATCACTAGCACTGTTCTGATGTACAAGTCTTTTCGCCAGCATTTTAGCATAGAATTTTTGAAACACATCTTTATCCTCAATATACTTGAAGACAACCATCTGGAAAAGAGAAGAAGAAAATATTTAAGCGCTTGTATTGAAGGAGAGCCACAACAGAAGCTATTTCATTAACACTTAAGAGTTTTTTTTTTTTTTTTAAACAGGGATACAATTGTAAACACATTACCTGTATACTGTACATATACAGGTTTTATATATATTTATCTCTCTCTCTCTCTCTCTCAACATACAGATTCAAGTGAGCATAAATTCTGTTCACTGCTTCAAATATGTTGTTGACTTAAGGTTAAATTTTTTGTTTTTTTAATATAATTAATAGGCCTTGCAGAGATCTTTAAAAATATTACTGAAAAGCTAAAATATTAAGTAATGAAAACAAACATCCAGAATAAAAGGTTTGATTTCATCTACCTTATGCGACAATCAAATACTTCTAAGTTGTCAAAGCTTATGCAGAAGAAACCTGTATTTATATGTCTTACCACTTGATTGAGCGTATCTTCTAATTCTGCTTCTTCTGGGTTCTTTGAGCTGCAATGAAAGTAGTGTATTTTTCATGATTTCAAAATTGTTAAATTAAAATAATATAACTAAATTAAAATAAAATATGGAGGTTTGTGGAAGGTTTTTTTCATAAACAAAGGAACATGGCTAAAACGACAGACCGAAGAATTTTTTGGGCCAAAGGCTCTTTTAACAGGAAACAATGTAATTAAATGAACAGTTTTCATTACTCCACATAACGCACATACGTTAAGCAATTTTGAAGTATGAGATTTTTAAACAATAGGTCAAAGTCCTGCACCATGAAGCGCCTGGGTTCTCCTAAAAGCCTGGGATATTTCGTAGGATTTGCGTGTTTACATGTGGCTCACTCTCTTCTAGCTTTCCTCTGCTGCTAAAGGCTATTTTCATTTCTTATCTTCAGTGCTAGAGACAGCGAACAAGCAACAGCTCATAGAGCTCATTCTTGACTGGGTGAGAGCTAAGGTGCCAACACACTGTTTTCCTCCATATCATGCTGGTCCATCAGGCACAATCCAAAGCTACCCTGCAGAAAGCTAGGATTTATGAAAAGAGGAAGATAACTTCTTTGGGGGGAGGAGCGAAGAGGCAGGGCAGGGAGGAAGGGGAAGGGAAGAGTGTGCGAGCTTTCCTGGGTTTTATCTTTTTTCTGCCTCCCAAAAACAGCTAGCAAAGTTGCCAGTGACAAAACTGACACCAATCCAGTACGAGCTGGACTGATACCAATTCAATTTACGAGCTGCTGAACTTTTTTTTATACCTTAATTAAATTACAAACCACAAGAAATTGGAAGGCAGTCTTTGTCCTCCTCAATTTCTGCTCAGATGGAAGAAGATATAGAGGAAAAAAACAGGAGGAAAGCAAGAGTTTTGATGCAAAAAGGTGAAGTGCCTCTCCTCTTTACAACATGTATAACACAAGTCAAATTTTGGAAGAAAACCCCACCACGTCAATTTCATATAAAAAAAAACCCCAAAACAAAAAAAACCCCACACATAGAACAGTCTCCTGTAAGGAAAAAAAAAAGGGCTTGGTTCTTTTGTTACCCTCCCACACCTTAAAAAAGGAAAACGAAATACAATCTTTAAGAAAAGCCCTACTGAAATTTTTCATTCAGAATTGGGCATAATTAAATTTTCTTGAAATGTTAAGTTCCATTTCTGAAGATATAATATAAAACTTCATATGCTAAATATTTTTAAAAACAAAAGCCAACCTGAAACAATAATTTGTCTTTGAAGACATACCTTTTCTTTAGTAAAGAGTCACAGTATCGCGCCAGTAGCTCTGGGGATTTACTGGATGATTGAGCCATTTTTGTCACTGCATTATTATTTATAAATCGACCACAAGCCTATAAAACACAAAAGACAGTGAAATTTTTGGGAGCCAAAACACTAAAGAGAGAAAATGGTCATCACGCGACACTACGTACACGCATACTTACTTTGTCTAGCGCAGCCACAAAACCGGCATCATTGTTGAATGCAGACATAACTAAAGCATTATATTTCTTATGGACATCCAACACTGTCTGTACATACATTTTTGGATCCTGTAAGAGGAAGAACTTGTTGCTTGCAATGAAACCCACTGACTTCCTGCTTTCTATTTCTTCCAAAATGGAACTAATCACTGTTTTTAGCAAATCTTTATGGTGAAAATTTACAAAGTATTAGAAACATTTTAAATGTAAGATAGTACCCAGATTAATTTAGGCTTTATGTTCACAACTGACTTACATTACTGCAAGTTTTTATTTACAGGGATCAGACTACAGAGAGAGTCTACCACATTACATAGTACAAAAGGAAACAAAACTCACTTATTCAACTATTGCAAATATCTCCAAAAGGGAGATTTTTTTAAGATACAAGCTTAACTCCAATCATACCTGGAAGACATGGAAAACCATAAAACTGCAATTTTTCAGAAGAAATCCTCCAGTTAAATCGCTGCAGTAAAAAAACAATACCATATCTCCAATAGTTACAACTCCAGAAAGACCTCAGAGTTACCAAAGACAGTTCTTGAAAATTTTCAGCTCAACTTGCAGTGGCAGACAAATGCCAACCAACATCAAGCATCACCTTTGCTGCACCCACAGACCGAGCACTGTGTGCAGTTCTGATCCCTGCTGAGAGACCTGTAGTGGAGTCAGAGCAGGAAGAGTGAAGGGAATCTAAAAATACCAGGTGGATAGGGCAGCTACCCTACAAAGAGACTAAAAAGACTAAAACTCTTCTGTTTGGAGATCAGAAGGTCGAAAAGGCATCTGACCAAGGTTTACAAAATCAGGAAGATGACTGAAAAAGGTACAATTTCTAACTACATGGCACTTGAGGAAACTAATAGGAAGTCAGTTCAAAACAGATAAAATAGAGACTTTACATGTCTGGTAGTAAACTTCTGGAACTTGCTACCATAGGAGGTTGTGGAAGCAGATAATATCAACAGGTTCAAAAGGGATTAGACAAATTCATGGACAACACGTCCACAAATAGATACTGAAATGACTGGGCAAGGGGTACCCTGTGACATCCCTGCTGTAAGAGTTCTGGATGATGGGAATGGATGGCAAAACATGGCCAGGCTTGTATCAGCACCCTGAAAAGCTTTTCCTATCACCAACGAAGACCAACTAACAGGATGCATGTGGGGCCCCCGCTGCTCTAATGTGATGCTTGAGACTGACAACTGAAGGGTTAGTGACACCCTCTCAGATAAGAATTTCAAGAGTACTCAAAGGACTTTCACAGAGGTGTCCCCTGATTATAAGGGCTCTTAAAAAGATAACCAAAGGTATTAACGATGGTAATCTTCTGACTGAAATCTAGTTAATACAGTTAGTGGAGTCTAGAACACAACTCATGCTACAATAAAAGTCTAAAATGGGTCAGTTGAGTCATTCTAACATGACTATCTCTCTCCACCGACAACAGAAAAACAGAGAAACTTGCTCAGCGTTCTATCGGTTTAGACAAGGTACAGATAAATCAAGTTGGGTAGAATCAATCTGAGCTAAACATGGTAGAGAATTAACAAGCTAATGATGAAAAGGGATACAGTGGAGTGAAATACACTGGAAGGGGCGGCAAGATGGTCCCAAGGAAAAATGACAGAAGATATTGTTACGAAAATAAACAAACGCGAAAAGAAAAGGAGCAAAAGAAAGGCAAAGCACGTGTTCAGGAAACAAGAAAAGTTGAAGCGATCAGAAAGACTTGTGTAAATGGTTGGAGTCAAAAGAACTAATACATACAGACCTCAGGCTTCCTCTCTAAGACGGAGCCAGAACTAATTCCTGGAGAAAGAGCTTTTTCCCCCCCACTTAGAAAGTTCCTCAAGGCCTAGGTACAAAGGAACTAAAGAGTGATGACCACCAAGGGGATGCTCCAACTGATTTTACCATGGAGCACACACGATTTCTAAATTTAATCTATGAACAGACCTGAAGATTGCTGAGCTTATTTCATGATTCACAAAAGATCACTGTGCTAGAAAACTATGCTTGCTAAGCATTTTAACCTATGCTAAAAACAGACTTTTTACTGTTCTCCACGCAGTCACTACAGACTGCTGCTTTAACAATTACCTACGAAGATATTCCAAGAATACCTGAGGCCAACAGCTGGTTAAAGTGATCGTTGTCAAAAAAAAATTCAAACTAGTCTTAAGTTTAACCCAGTTTTAACTAATGATTTGCCAAAATATATATTCTATCCCATTTTTGCTTTATGCAATGTCTTGTAATTCTTTTTGCTAAAAAACGTCTCATTATCTACAGACAAAAAGAAGTTTAGTAAATGTTTTAAAAAACTCCTCACCGTTAAGATTCATCCCTCCTTGATAAAGTATTAAGCCTGAAATTACAATTATACGGCAAAAATCAAAGCAGCAGCCAATTATATGGCTCAGTGACCACAGCATTAGTAAAGACCGGACCCGTTTCTTTTATTGTGCCCTATCCAAACATCTCAGTTGTTGCTTCTTCTCTTCCTCCCACCATATTTCTCATGCTTATCCAAATAGAATGAAGTTATTAAGCAGAAAAACTAAAAACAACAAAAACTTTCTTGAAACAGTCCCATCCATGTCTACACTACAATGAAATAAAATAAAGTGCGCTAGAGACAATGCTTCCTGAAATAGTGGAATTCTAAGCATATTTGTAGATGTAGGATGTTGTATTGCAGAACCAGCACTCCCTGCAGACAATACATCCTGAGAGACAACAAAAATTCAGAGAGAGGGGGAAAAAAAGCCAACCAAACAAAAACCAAACGCAAGGCTCAAAGAGCAGTAACATAGTGGTGTTACTACCGTTTTAGGCTTCCTATAAGCATCTGAGAATTGTCTAGTCCTTACAAGTTGGATCAGTAGAAAATACTTGTAAACTGGAAATTTTATCAGTAACCATCCACCTTTCGATAACCTAAAACTGGTAGCAACCACATATAGACTTATTTTCATGGGATACTTGCATTTAGAGCAGCTTCTCCACATTTCTCTATTGCAGCTAGACCCTGATTATGAATGTGGGTTTCCAAGAGTTTTTTCAGTTCTCCAAGGCCATCCTGGATTCGAGACACAAGGTTATACATGCGTCCCAAGTCTGGAAAAAAAAAAGAAAGCCAACATTTCCCATTTGTATTAGCTATGACTCCAACTCCTCACTTAACGAAGTCGACAATAGAAGTTAAACATTCAACATCACCATCAACAAAAACATACATGCAATTGCCGCTGTAAAAAGTCACACAAGCTACAGTAAAAAATTAAGTGCTACAGTAAATCTTTGCACTAACCTGGAAAGTTAAGATTAGTAAAAAAGGGAAAATAATCTGTTTAAGTAGTGTGTTTTACCCTCACAACACTACAGAAATTTCAAGCACAAAACCCAAGATTTAAATTACAGAGATATATTTACCTCTGATTTCTAGTTTTTATGAACAATTTAAAGAGGTGCAAAAACTTAAAAATAGAACTAAACCCCCCTTATTTAAAGTTTCTACCTTTAATCAGGACTGTCATTAGTGTTACTACTGGTTAAGAGCACAATGTTCTCCCACTGACCACCAGTCTTTCTGAGCCTCCTGCTCAGAACAAAACCGTTTCCACAGATATAACACCTGCAGCCTTTTGTATATTCTACTGGTGGCAACAACAGTTAGCAATTGTGGGAAACTTGAGGTAAAGTGTCATGTGTTGATATGACGTTTAAGACAAAAAACGGAAAAATTATAAACCAACTTCCCGGCAATAAATCTACCTCTTTTTAAAAGAAGGTTTAGGTACCTGATTAGTAATAGAAATAACTATATCTGGAAGAAGAAAAGAAGATTGAGAAAAGCTTTGCCACAAAACTCAAGACTAATAAAGGTGAAAAGAAACTGGACATAACTTCATGCATGTTAAAACCTCATACTAAAATCTCATCAGTTTTCAGCTAAGACTTTCCAAAAAACCAATTAGTAATTTTGGAAGGTGTAGTACTGAAGAAGGCTTTGCATTTATTATTCCTTTAAAACAGGGCAGAGTCTTAGTACTTTCTGAATGCAGTACTCTTAACTACTTTAATATAGATATAAACCAGATGCATAAAACCACTAGTAACTTCTAGCAATCTTGGTCTTACTTAATAGACACTTGAGTAAAATGCTAAACCACCAAATTAGCTATTGTAGACTAATGAGGGTATTTCAACTTGTTGGATCTATCTTAAGGTCTTCAACTATATGTAGCTCTTCCACAGTGTAAAGTCTTCTCTGAAGGGCTTATATATAATCTATTACCACCTGAGGATAATTACATATTAAATAAAATGGAGCAGTGAAGTAGTTTTACTGCTAGCTAACTCTGAAACACAACACTCAAAACCTGATGCCTTTACCAGTGAGGCTATGCCATTTATGTTCGAGCCACTTGCCCCTTCCAGCTAATGCCTTCAGTTAGAACTTTAGCAAATTTTAATCTTTCGGATTGAAAAATTGTTTGTTTCTCAAAAATGATCTTTCTGAAAAAAAAAAAATCACATTCTTGGCCTGATGTTATACTTTTAGAACAACATAAGGAAAGAATGCTCTTCTTTTACCTACAGGATTTTAGCAAAACAATAGGACAATAATGACAAGCCTGGGTGGGATGTTTTGCTACTAGATCTACCCACAAACGAGAGATCATCGGTTGTTCTATCAGGATGCTTGTAGTTGGTGAATTATGAAAGAGATGCTACAAAAACTCAGGAAAGATTTACAGGATAAAACATCTCGTTCCCAATCAAGATAATTATTTCCCGTAGTTATCATATTGATGTGAACAAGTAACAAATGACTAACGTGCCCCACAACCTTGGTAACCGGTTAACCTTGGCAACCGCACAATGTATTTAAGAAGCTACAGAATAGCGAGGCCCTTGACATGCGAGGACCTCAAAAGCAACTTACTTTCAAGAACAAGGCAATAAAGACGATCAATTTGTAGTATACTTAAATAACCTATTTTAGATTATCCTAAACTCATAAGTCCATGGCTTTGAGAGGGAACTATCATGGATTCTTTGGTAATTCATTCTTTATTCATTATCAAAATGAATGTTTCTAATCATGGTAATTCATGAACATCAGAAATAGTCAAAGAACAACTGATGTAATTTGTGCAAGTGAAATACAGCAGAGGAAAAGAAATATTAAAAAAAAAAGGCTCTTTAAAATAGCTTCAGTAAAAGTAAAAACTAAAACCTATAATAAGACAGTGCCAAAGCCAAAGGGTGTTTTTTGTTTGTTTTTTAAGCTCCTACACACATATGAAGCTGTATCACTATGGTAAACGACTGTTATTAAAGGCTCACATAGCCCACAGACTTGGTAATATTGATAATAAAATAACCTGGAAAGGCCTCCTGAGTCCAGAAGATTTTTCAGGATTGTGCTATTGCTATCTCTATTATCAAAAGATATTAATAAACCCATTTTACTATTCAAGATCCATCTACACTAAAACCTGTTCCAATTACGGAGGAAATATATTTGTTATTTAGAAATGTAAACAAGAGCTGACCCTTAAGAGCTAGTAGAGGACAACAATCTTCAATTTACATTTGAAACGGGTAAATTCTGACCTACCAATCACACTTAAATGTCCTTTTTTTTATTTTGAAGTGTCTCTTGATTATCAATAACATGATTACGGTAATCATTCATAGCTGCTCTTTAAGGTTGATATATGTAGAGCTCACCAGTCATAGAACACAAACACAACTCTTAACACCTTTGGAAAAAAAGGCAAATGTAATGTTGGCTACTAATCCTCCATCCTGAGCCACTCAGAGGCTTCAGCTCCTAAGAAGCTTAGGACTCTCAAGCCAATATCATCAGCAATAGTAACTTAATCATAATATCTCTTCAATTCTATCACTTCCTTAAAAGAAATATTTCACATATAGAGCCTTACTCTGATTTCCTATATAGATTTAATCCCCAAGGATAAAATCAGAAACACCATTCACCCTCCTCACCTGCATGATATACAAGAATTACGTAGCCTTAGTTTTGACTGCTTTGTTTTTTCTAGGCATTAACTCCTGAACACCTACAAACCAATAGAGTTCCTAACTTCTTAGGGATACCTCAACTTTTGATAATCTTGTCTTCAATAGTTCTTCCAAAATAATTAAGCCTCTGTTCTGTGTGCTATCCATGGAGATAGCAACTTATTACATTAGGGGCATTTCAGACTAACTTTCACGCTAAAATTATATCATTAATTACTAATTTGGACCCCTTTTTTGTGTTATCTGTCCCACCTACAATACCCATCAATAATTTAGAAGCTCCCTGTTTGTTTCTATTCTACTTTTAAAATCTCCTAATTATGCTTCTACACAAACTAGATCGTAAAATTCTCATTGCCGACTCCTAAGGAGCCTTGGATTAAACTGAAACAGCTGGTGAGACCTGTGATCTCTTTTCTGCCTCATGCCTCTCTCATGCAACCAGACATGTTAAGAGAAATCAAAGTTAGTACTGTTTCGCCTTAAAATTTGAGATTGGAACGGGCAGCTCGAGGCCATCCCCATTTAATCAACAGCTGCTTGTTGACTGGTTCAGCATTCATCTATTCCCTCAATGTAATTACTAAAGAAATCACATTTAGCCATTATCAGAATTTACATTACTCACAAATCAGAGAGGAATTGCAGGAAAACCTAAAACCACTGTTTCAATCAACTTACCTTCATTTTTGTCAGCATCCAATAAATTCTGAAACTCTGTATGAAATATCTCCAAGTGTTTCTCAATAAGAACTTGCTCACATTTTCGTGCCAATTCATCTTGTGTGCTCTCATGGAGATAGACCTGAACTCTACGCTGCTCCTCAAGAAGGCGAGCTTCAGCCTACAGAACAAACAGGTAAACATGAAACCTGTATAAAAGATAGAGTCAAGTTCTAACAGCAGAAAACAGATGACTATGTAGTAAATTCATCCAGAAGACAAAAATAAACAAACAAACCTCTCCCTAATGTGGCATTACAGGCCACTTGAATAAATAGTTGTTATTTTTCTGGGAATCATAATGCGACTCCTCCCCCACTGTATACATTTGGGTTCAATGTCTATATTGATGATAATTTTATTTTCCCTTATGCTTCTGAATAAGACGTTTTCAGACGAAAAATCTGCTGTCAGAAAAAAAGAAAGTGGCCAACATGAGATGCTTGCCCTTTTAGGATCAGCAAGCTCTCCAGCCACGGAGGTAGCTAGCTTCATTTAAAACGAACGTTTCATGCCTTCACAAAAACTAAAAGGCATAAGTTTATGATGGGCATACTGTTAAATGGTAATTTTATGTTAATGTTCTCACGTACGTTCCCACACAGAAAAGTCTCCCAATAATCTACAATCTTTTAAATTGTACTAGCATTTAATTTGGCACATGAAATGCTACATATGAAAATGTTCCTGCCAAACCAAAATTCTAAATGTCACTTGAGGTATAGTGCTCAACTCCAAAATGTAAACCTGAAGTTGTTTATATAACCATTACCTCTATTTTGTTTGTGAAAAATGTTAAAGACTCACTTTACAAGCCATCTGTAAGAGTGACACGTTATTAGGGATAAGGCTCATATGGCTTCTTATCAGTCCAGATTATTTGAATTAATAAATGTCATCCAGAGAAGGAAATGAGATTAATGCATTTTCCTAACACTTCAGGATACAGAGTAAATATGATCTTTTATATTATGGGCAACAAAATAACAACTTAACTGCAGGAACATTGCATCATACACAGACAACTTTAATTAATCTTCTATGCTATTGCTAACTTCACTCATTTTTGTAATAATTTTGCACTTAGCTTTGGTGACATGTCTTTCCGAGCTAAACCAGTACAGCTCAAAACATAAGAAACAAAAGAGTTTGGGAAGGGATAAACTCATACTTTAGAGTACATACCAGTTTCTCAGCACTAAGGACTAAGAATCAACTTCCTCAGCGATAGCAAATAGCAGCAAATCATCAAATATTTTTGACGACCACTGGAAGCTGAAACCAGACTAGTAGGACTACTTATGTTTGACTAACTCTGTACTTCTGTAGTTTAACTAGTTAATACTTCTAATGCTTCTTCTTAAAATAACAATAAAAGTGAAGGTTTATGGATAACTTTAAACTCCTTTATTTTCATAAAGTCTCACCTCTGACTCCAAATTTGCTTAAGCTCTCTCACTTTACGTGCTCTTCTAATTCCATTTTCCTTTTTAAGTCATATTTCATAACCAAGGGAAAGATAATTACTTCCCACAACAGTACCTCCAGTTATTTCAACTATAAAAACCACAAATTCAGTTTGAGGCTTTATTTCAAGGGATATTCTTCACAACTCTTTAGGACAAACCTTTTCCTACAGCATACCAGGCCATGCCAGCTTTCCTTCTCAGGCCGGCCCTCACATGAAAAATTCACAATGCTTTTAAACTCAGTAAGTCTACCTATATAACTACATATACGCATCTCAATTCTAATTAAGTTTTCTCTGAATTTTCTACAGCAAACAACCAGAATCCTCTTCTATTAAGGAAATGCTCTGCTGTGATGCTAAAAAGTTGGTAGGCACTAAGTTACTCCAATGTGTTTCTTTTTAGAATTACTTTGCAAAGCCATTTAAACCCAATCAGAACTCAATGTACAGGGCTCCTGTAAGAAAGCCAAGTAAGAGTACTAATAGTACACTACTTTTCTTATGTCATACTTCTAACAGATGACTTTCAAGACCATCTTAGTGACGGTATGTCATGTGACCACTGGACTACTTACAGCTTTTCACATCAGTCTCATTTAAGGCTTTTCATAACAGGGAAAAAAGGAACACCTCAATTCTATCAATATGCTACAAAATAATTATATAGGCAGTATTACTCTGTTCCAGGCATTTAGGTTGCACACGATACAATACCCACATGGAGAAAATAACTAAGAAATTGACAAAATTCCCTTGTGATGTTTAAGTCTAAAATATGTTGAGAATTCCCTATGCATACCGAAGAAAGATAAAACTGAAGGAAATCATATCTGAAGTGCAAATGAACCGTTCTGATAACTTGCACGATCTCTCCGGCAGAGCACGTAGACCAGAGAAATCGATGAGACTTCCCCCCTCCCCCCAATTGGACCACCTTCTAGCTTCAATTCATACACTTCTCCCTTTCTCTGAGGTCACAGCTCCAGCTTAGACCATTTTGCATGCTCCTACTACATTCACTTTGAAGTCCAATATGGAGCTTTTTCAGTTTCATCAGTCAAATCCCAGCAAATGAGTAATGAATATGGAGTTTCTTGTTTGGTTCAATTCTTAGGTAGACACATTCTCTGTAAGGAGATGCCAAGCTAGCCAAAATGGCTTACGTATCTCCAGTATCTGAATTTGATCAAACGCTACAATAAGGCTACTACTTCTTGCCGAAGATTTCCTCTAAATTTGGATAGTTTTCTATAGGTGTTTAGCTTCAACATCATCAGCTGCAACCCATTTGTAGATTTCTGAAGTCTTGAAGATTGTCTGGGATACTATTAAGTTCTTTCTATTTGTCACTAATCCCTAGCTCTTGAAATAGCTCCAATGACCTCCAGACAGCTTTTTAGTGTCCTGCACCAAGGAAGCCGGGACAAGACAGTCATTTGGGTTATGAAGGACTGAAAGGCCTTTTTTCTACCTATATATAAATTTCAGAGGATGAAAGAAAAGACAAGAAATTGAAAGGGAAGTAACAAAACAAAAAATCATTAATTCAACAGCAGCAGAAAAGGAAACATAGATATGTCTGAGACAACCGACTCTGGGCAACTATCCCAATGCACTGACGTCCAGATTAATTTTAGTGTGTTTTTTCCTGGGCCTATTTTTTTTATTATTTCTATTTTCAATTGTCCACTTCAAAGTCAAGAATCAGACAATATTCTTTCTGTAGCAAAAGGAGTTACAAAAAAGCAGCACAGAGATATTAGTGCAAGGTGTGTGAGCAGATTTTCTTTGCATACTCACAAAGCTTTAACTTTTAATTAAACTGAAAGGGAAAAAGGGAGCAATTTAGAGAGCAAGTAAGCGTACTAGAAAAATATATTTTATATATATACATACATATATATACACACACACACACATATACATATAGCAGCACTTGTACAAGATGAACATGACCAATTTATTTTAAATTCAGTAAGACTGACCCAATAACCAGGCTAGGAATAGTAAGTGCTTATCCAGCTTGTTCTTAATTGCCCTGTCTGGGATCCCAGAGGCCAAAGAAACTATCAAAGAATTCAAATCTGGTCCCTGTTGATCAAAATTATTGAGCAGTGTTCACTAGACCAAAATATTCTGAAAGAACTAACGCTTATTAGTGATCTACTTTATGAAAGCCAGTTTGCTCAGGGAGAGATTTCAATAACACGCTACCAGAAGAGTAAGCTTGCAGTTCCAAAGTAAAATGGCTATTTTGGTGGCAAACCTTGAAGTCTACAAAATCTATATTTATTTTACCATCCTCTTCTGGTTTGCTCATTACAGTTTCAAATTTTCATTGTACTTATTGAAATGCACTAAGGAGATAAACACAGGGACAAATCACCTTAGGAAAAAAAAACTAATTGGTTTTCCTTCTATAAAATATTCAGCATTTTAAGAAACTGATCATAAGAGTCAAGAACTTACATTACTTCTACCTCAAACAAATATCTGGACTCAGACAATAATCACAAAGTTATTTAATAACTTACCTTCTTCATGTACTCTGTGACTGGGTTCTGCTGCAAGAATTCAGTACTTTCTCGGGTATAAAACCTCTCCGTGTCAGCAAGAAACTGAGATTCGAAGGATTCTTTATAGACAGTTAGTGTAGGCCCCTTTGCAAACGCATCATCTTCATTCAGCCCCAGCTCCACTACAAGAAAGTAAATTATGATAAAACTGTCTTTTATTAAATGGTCTCTTGCACACAGACAGACATCCTCATTCTAACTTTAGAGAAGTGATTGTGATCAATTGGAATAGTGTTAGCACCACCTTCTAGTACTTTTTAAAGTATACATTTATTCTGCATTTAGAAATAAGTAGCAGAAATCATATTATTCATGTCAATTGCACTTTTTGACAAGTTAGGAAGCAAACTGTAGGATTCAGGAAACTTCACTATCTCAAATACTAGTTCAAATTCCATTTCCATTTTATCTCTTAGATTTCCAGCTTATATCCGTATATATCTATTTTTATTAATGATTGATCATTAACCAGTATGACAAAACACTCAATTTCATATAAATAGAAAAAAAAAAAAAAAAAGAAAAGAAAATCCCCACTCTGCTTTGTAACATACTATGCTACTTTTTTACCCCTTCCAGTTTTAGCTCATAAATAATTGATTCATAAACAATGAACAGACTCTTGTCTACCAGTGCTGCTTTCACAAGCATTGCGTTATTAACTGGAAGTATGTGTCAAGTATCTCTGCATACACAAAGTTAATTTTTTACATAACCAGGTTTATCTTACTGCAAAAATCTTTACTGGACATCCAAAGGGGTAGGGGGCTATTTCTAGACTCTGATAGGGCATGTTCCCCCCCCCGGAAAGTAATTAAGCCTTAAAGAAATCTCATTTACCGTAAGATTGTACAACTCCACTGATCAGCCTTGTATTGATAGTTTCACCATTTCTTTCCTTTTCAATCAATTTCAACACAGCATTTGTTACCTTAGAAAACAGGGATTAAAAGTGAGTCAAGCATCATAGTTAGAAAACAGCTGGTAGGTCAAGCTCAGTACTTAATCAGGAGCATGCTCCTATATTCAAGACAAGTCAAGCCCCTTGAGAACAAAATAGGAAACCTGAATGCAAGAATTCCCCCCTACACAGAGCACGCTACCTCTGTAAGTTCTACAACATAACCACAGTCTATTACTAGTGAGCTGCAGAAGAGTATGACAGTGCTTGGGTTCCTCCCCCCGACTCCCAGCTTTTAAAAAGGCACCTTCTAAACCAAAGTACTGTGTTTTATACTTTAAATACAGGGGAATCTTGCAATCGCTGCTGAACTAACCACCTGCAATTTGCACAAAGAAAGCTATAGCTCATGCTCATTACTGAAGTGTTGCATATACTGTTCCTTACAACCAAAATGCAACCATTACTTTCATAATGCAATATAAATGCAATATAATAGAGTCTTTTCATCATGAAGTACTGGTAAATGAGACTGAAATATAACGTATGTTGTGATGGAATGTCTTGTTTTATATTGTGCCGATTCACTAATTAAAAACATTTAGTTAACTTGACATGAATATCCCAGGCATCAGTGCGAGTTTCAAAAGATTCACAGTAACGTTAGAACAGACTGAAGTCCTAGCCCTGTCACTGTCCTCACAGAGGCTCAAACCTTAAGGCATCAAGGTCAGTAAGTACTCCTGTCTGGCTTGAAATAGCAACCTCAGCTGGGTCTTCTCAGCAAAGAGACCACATAACGCTCCCCTAATATTTACCTTTTCAACACCACAAAGGAGAAGTGGAAGGCTCTACTGTAAGTTCTGATTTTTCTGAAGTTCTCATCGGAACAATTACTAATGACATTTAACATCAACCCTGTAATATAGCACCACAGTCGTGAAATATATACATACCTGCTTATTTAATGGCCTGAATAAGCAATCCCTCCAGGTCACCAAGGCAAGCTAGAACAGAAGGAAAGGAGATGGAAGATGGAAGAAGAAGAAAAATATATTTACACACACACACACACAATAATTCTTTAAGAAAAGTTGACATATTATGCTAAATAATCAGAACTTATTTTTTAGATGATGTTTTGAGACACAAACCTCTCATTTAACGAAAATTTTTCACAGTTAAATTTTATTTTTTGCTAACCCCATCTGAGGTGTACCATTTGCTGGCAGAGAATGATCCACCACCAACTCTGAAAAACAGCAAGCCTTTCTAGTTATATTCACCAAATACAGTTTTTCCTGCTGGCAATTTTCAAGTTGATATAGTTCCTTAGCATTAGACTGGTGAAAGGTAGAACAGCGGAGAGGGAGATAAGTAAGAATATCCTCACCAACTGCTTGTTCTACCCTATGCACAGTTATTTTAGTAAAGCAGTAAACTAAAACATCAGTTTTCTAATGCGTTACCAGCAAAGACAACACTCAGCCTTTATTAAAAAATATATATTTTTAGCTATTGGAGACAGAGAACTTCAGTCAGGTTCTTCCCTTGTTAATACTACTTTACATTACAAAAAAAATTCCATCAAGATCACATATCAGTCTTCCAAAACGGTACGAAAGTAACTTGTATTACAAACCAAATGTTGACTGAATCGTAGCAGGTTGGATGCCAAAAAATCTGCAGAGATGTAGTGAAGTTAAGAGAAAGAAATGCAATTTACTTTGCTTTATGTTTGGAACAGTTGACTCAGTTTGAAGTGGGAATGACAAGGCTACACTGATGCAGACAAGAGAACTGCATAAGCAGAAAATATTCATAAATAGACAGCCCATGACATACTGGCAGTGTGTCAACACATACAACGCAGACTGAACATCTCACATGTTAGACCCGTGGAGCTTTTAGAAATACGTGTGCAGGGGAAGCTGCTGTGGGAGTTTAAAAAGGGAAAATAGTTATTTTAACTAATTATGTGATGAAGCACACTTCAAAACTTCTGTGAACTTCATACAAATACAGCAAGTTTCAAGGAGTGATCTGTAGGATGAGAATGCAAAGGACAGATGAAATGAGCAATTCGTTCACATCAAAAAATACCTTACCGAGTAAATTTCGTATATTCCTTTACGACCTTCATCACACTCACGACGAACCCAATGTCGATTGAGGTAGGCACATATTCCATTCAATACTTTGCTTGAAAACCTATAATCTTCCCACTGTTGAGTGTAGAATTTCAGCACACTCTCGTCCATCAAATCTTCACCATCCTGGAAAAGATGAAAGGTTGTCAGTAGCATAGGACAATTTCTGAAGTACACAAAGATATACAGAGGCGCACAAACTCACGCTGTAAGAAGTCTTCAATGTACAATGTCTTTCTGCATCCTGTAATATCTCAGTATGGCAGCTTTATATGAAACAGTGCTAATATATTAACTTTTATATTCATAAGTACAAGGCCACTATCAGACTTATAAATTAGAAAATGAATGGAAAAAATAAATAGCGTACACGGCTCCAGAAGACACTCCCTTTTCTCTTTTGGAAGGGAACAACAAGGTACCACATTAGAAGCAGAGAGTGACACTGATGAGCATGCTATGTAAAACATGCCAGTGCAATGCCAAACCATTCAACCCTGCAACCTTCATAAAAATCTGCCTGCCATTCCCATTGCTGCTGCTAGCTGGGGAGCAGAAACAAGTGAACAAAGACATGCCCTTCTTTAGGGGTAAAGAGTCGGAGTAAACGGAATCCTATATCCTTGGATCTGCGTATGGCATCATGTTTGCTCATGCTACCAGGAGGGTGGGGGGAACAGCACACACGTAAATAAGTATCTTTCCAAACTAGACCAGTAGAGCTCAAACGGACAGGGAAGTAGTAACAAGAGCCTATTCTGGATAAACATCAGATACTTCGATGCAGCTGTGTCATCACCACCACATTACAAGGTAAATTCACAAGGACTCCAGAAATTCTTATATTACTGCTTAAATCTAAAATCCCCCAAATTAAAAGCAAGTGTGGTTCCTTCATACTGAATACATTTCCAAAGTATCTAGGAATCATTCTCTCAAAAAGTAGCCCAACATAACTGTTACATTAGTTGTTTACTTATTAAATTAGTGACTGCCATCTGGCATTTTCAACCTTATAAGTAACCCTCCCATTTTCTCCATACTATTAATATGCTGGCTAATTGGTTATAAAGTCTAGCTGTACTTTTACAAGCTATAGGGTGGCTTAATATGGCATATAATGTTAGCTTTGATAAAACATATGTGCAAACACTCCTTTGACAGTAAGAGGGAAAGCAACTCAAAGGTACACTCAATGACTGCTCTATGCGCACGGCAAAGCATGTGATACTTTCTAATGGCTAAAGGAATATTTAAGAAAAAAAATACATTTCAGGCTCATTTAATTTACTTCCAATGGCTGCATACAGTTCTAATTTTGGTGATAAAAGCTGTCCTCTACCCAGCTTGTATTGCTGTAATTACCAATTGATCTACAGCCTTATCTTACCTTAAGGAGATTTGTCAAGTAGTTCTTCAGAAATTCTTTTAGTCGTTTGTACAATTCCAAGCCAACAAACTGAGCACCTCCGGGGGTCTGGCCTTTTTTCGACTTTGAAGGAGGCACTCCAGCTCCCCGTGCTTGATTAGACTGGTGTACGCTAGTACAGTAGTTATAAACATGACTGGCAGGAAAGTTAAGGAACATATATAATGCGGGCATGATACATTTAAAAATTCAATGAAAACCAGTATGTTAATTTTAATAAGCTATCTTAGAATGACCATAAACAATGACCTAACCTTAATACATTACAAGATGCAGTAGCCCTCAAAAAACTAAGAAAACAATAATTCTTTAAGCAGAATTATCAGTAGCAGAAGTGTTTTACACTGCGCAGACCATACTGCAAGTTAAACTCACCTAACACTGTAAGTAACAAGATGACCAAGAAAAAGCAGTGGAATTTGCAGATAAGCTTACCTTCAAGGTGTAAATGGAATTTATTTGATGTATTTTATTGGCCATCTACAAATACTTAAGTTTTCATTTGAGCAAGAAGATATTTCAATGCTAGTCTCAACAGTCAAGCAACAGTCAGCAGCTGAAAACACCGAGGAAAATTTAATTAAAAAATAGAGTTTGCAAAATTAAGTTTAGCAAGTAACACAAGCAGACAGGGGCACAAACCTAGAAAGTAGCAATGGTGAAAGATGCTCTCTCTAAAGGACAAGGTAACAGAACTTCATCAGCAACACGATGAGATTCACTGAAACTGCATTTTGGGCTGCAAGTGTAATCCCTACATCGAAGTATGTGGTGGCAATAATTTTTCTCTCATGTGAACACAGCCTGGAAGACTTAATGTAGATGTTTGTTAACATGACATTTCAAGACAGCATTCTGTTTCCTGAGCTAACATATATTCAAATATTCAGCATTCCTCCAAAGTCATCAGTGGAAGCCACATTGCTTGAAACACTTCAAATAAGAAAGTATCCTCAAAGAAACTGCACTCCACAAACATGAAACTCAGCAGTCCTCAAATTAGACTGGATCAGGACTCAGACCTTATAGGGAAAGTTACCAAAATGACTCGCTCAGCAAATGAGTATTCAACAGGAGCAGAGCTACTGAGCACTCCTGCCTCCACTTACGGTCTGAGGTCCGCCCTTGTCAAGAGTAACACCGGGTTAAATAACTCAGAAAATCTAATTCCGTTTCAACTTGCAGTTTAATCAATAGGCTAGGCTCTAACAGCTAGATAGGCTTCCACCATAATATACTATTTATTAGGAAATGAATGTTTTGCAAATATTTGTCTTCTACCTTTCCCTTCAGAGAGGTCAGTGCACTAAAACTGACAACAGCAGCAAAATTAAATACCAAGGGAATTAGGTAAACCAAAATACATGATGTACTAGAGTTTTTATAAACAGACTTGTAGTATTGGAACAGCGACACTCAAGAAGAAAAGTCTCTTTAAAATATCCAGTTAACTCCCTTCCAATTTTTTTTTTTTTTAAAGTTACACTGATGGCTTCACCTACAAGTCAGATCCTTAAACCGGATTTTCAGTTAAGAGCGTACTACACGTTACACAGCAAGAGGCTCATGGTATTTGACATAAATAGAAAGGAAAGACTACTTTCCTCTTTTCCTTCCCATCCAATTTACACACTTGTTTTAGAAACTCGTTACATTCTGCCCAACAGAATAATGTTCTTTGCTTAAGATCCATGCTTTTTGGAAAGTACTCATTTATTCCTCACGTGTTATCTCTTCCAGGTGCCAAACAATTAGATTTCTCACAATATTAGCTAATAATGTAAAATCTAAATTTGGGCTTAGTAACTGAAACTTTATTCTCTACCAGCCACTTACATCCTAGATATTAATGACTTCTTTTAGAACAAACATCTATTCCTAGCTACTTGTTTCTCCACTTCGCTGGCACTGTCATTACTTTTACCATCTATGCTTCCATTTCTTAATTTCCCATTTAAGTGAGGAATGTTATACACTATAACAGTTTTCCTCTGGGTACAAAACTTTCCTTCTTCTCACAGACAAGAAGAGCAGAACTTACTTCACAGTTCAAGGCACTTAATTTAAGGTGCTGTTTATTGTGCGTGGAAAGTCTCTCCGTAATTCTGCAAGAAATTCAGGGCTCTAGTTCACAAGAACCTACTTGCCAGTCTTGTCGCCTTCTTCGCTCAACTCTCCTATCCTAAGTGGCTTTTAAACAAGCGTCAAAATATGACAATTCTCCAGATGGCGACTCTTGCAGGTTTTGTGCGATAGTGCCAGACAAAAATATTCTTCCTGTTCTTCTCAAAAGAACAATCCCAACAGCCTTCAGAATAATAAAATACTAAGGTGAGAAGACATGCACCTTCTTCCAATCCTATACATTTTACTAATTTACCAGGAGTCCTGGTTTTGATAAACACAGAGAGACTAAGATCTTTTCTCCATGCGTGACAGTAACCCCTTCAGAGCTGGAATAAAAAAACAAATCAGATACAGTAATGGCTTTCTCTGCTTGTTATCCCAGCTTGAGTCTTGCTAGCCAAATGCCCAACTACCCATCACAGCACTTTTGAAATGCTCAATTTTAGCTGTTTTATGCAAGTCAATTTGAAGTTACAACATTTTTGCTTTAGTGTACCTGGCAGTCTGTAAGCGCAAATAACTATCTTTAATATATTATACATACAAGAATGCTCCCTCACACTTCATTTACAATCTGTGTCCCCATCTGCTAAAGCCAACCACTGACACAAGGACTGACAGATACAAAACAAAACGAGAACTGCACCGCTTACAACAAAGTACATCACGCTCCAGCCAAGAACCGCAAGGAGAAGTCTAGGAAAAGTACTGAGTTGCAGAAAGCAAACTAATCCCCTCAACCTTCGCATACTTTGGGAGCCATATACATATCCAAGCAGCCATTAGGAAACACTTTCAACGGCATCTCCACAGTTCTGCCTAGTAATTCACATATTCCAACAAGTGGAAGATAACTTTTTGACGAACCGCTTGGTAGTGCGGGGAAGTTGCGCTGCTTCCCCAGCTTCTACCTAGTAACCTTGGGATGTGGTCCAGCAACCGGACAAAGCACCTTTTGGAAGAGCAAATCAAGATCAATTTCTTCTGAATTCTACACTCTTCCTATGGTAAGAGAGAAATTAATTTAGATGTGTAAACACAAGGTAGAAGATGAGGCAGTTTTTCCACTTCATTCAATGTTGTGCAATTTAAGAGGAAAAAAAATCTCTTTCAGAACTTCAGTTGTCTTTGAAACTTTCTAACATGCGATACAAGAAGCATCCAAAGACTGCCCCAAAACTAATTTTACCACCGCGGCCTTCAGCACTCTAGTCCATTTACAATCTTTTTGACAACCTTTTTCTCAGTTTCTAAAGCGGGACAATCCAAAAGATAAAGAAATTCCCAAGCTACCTTTTCAGAACTAAATTATAGCCTTGCAAGATACCATTCCCACGGAAGGAAATGATCCTGACGTTCACCCCACCTGGAGGGCTTTCCCCCCCCTACCCTGGCCACCTGCTTTTCAAACAGCCCAAGCATTTATGCAGACAAACAGTGATTTGGTTTGGGGAAGTGACTGAGGTTACAACTAATCATTCTCCCTTTTCCCAAATAGTTTGCTGAGTAGTTGTATACTGCTGTGTCAGCGCAGAGGAAGTGAAACACACTCCGCCAGTAGCGGCCCATAAACTTTTTGTGCCGATACACCATTAAAAAGGCAAGCTGGAAAGTACCAAGGTCCCCTCTAATCTACCCACTCCCCCAGAAAGATGCCGAAATACAGCTTTTTCTTCCTCAAGGAGCAAGTGCAGACAAAAATTATGGGAGACAAATACCAGTTTCGTAATTCAATGCACAACAGGAAAACACTCAGATTTTAGACGTTTCACACGGTTCCTAATGTTAACCTTTAATAAAAGGACCTACTCTTCTGAGGTGATAATTGGTAGCCCTTTCAGAAGGGCATACGAGTCCTCCCAAGATTTTTTTTCCATTTTACTATGAAAAAACAACAGAACTGGAAGAAGTCAGTTTGAGGCGCAGATATGTAAAACTAAAAGGAACTGAAAGGGGAGCAGAAATAGCACGATGTAGCACAAAGCTATGGGAGAGTCACATTTCAACAACGCTTTCTGAAAGCAGGAAGCAGGGCACAAAAAAACATGCCAAACAGTCTTCTGACCAGAATTTTTCACTGATTACTTCTAGTCTTTTAAATCAGGCCAAATCTAGGCATTACTTTCCTATTTCACACAACTAATGAAGTAATTAACTCTATGTTGAGCGCTCTGTCATCTCAAGAACTGGCCTACAGGAACGAGTTCAGATTAGTCCCACTTGCATAAAATATATTTTCCTAGATTACACTAAGACATGCAAGAACAAGGGGTAGAAAGTCACTGAACATACTGAGTTAGAAGAATTACTAGGAAAAAATTGAGAATTGTATACTCTTGTAAAACACCTTCTAATATTAAGAATACAGCTCACTATATTTAATAAAAAACAGACTCACATGGTTTCTTCAAAAAGATTACAATTTCAATTCAGATTACGCTGTGTAAAACAAACAGAATCACCCTGTGCATAAATAAAGCGTTTAAGAGAAGTGGACACATGTATGTGATTTTCCTAAGGTCTCATAAGCCAAAAAGACAAAGGAATTTGGTACCAGTTTTTGAAATCAAGAGGTTGCCAAAATAATTTACTTTCTGAAAGAGCGCTTCAAAAGTGGACTTCAGCTTTGTGAGGAATAGCATTAACGCAAAAACAAAAAACCCAAACCTTCAGAATTTTTTTCCGAGGAGGCATCATCAGGAGCCTATATTAAGTGTGTTCAGTTCACTGTTTAGTAAGGTAGGGTACACATGCCCCACAAGACAGTTCAGAGAAACCAAACAAACAACAGTTAAGCCCCTCCCTCCAATTCTATACATTTTCCATTTTTGTTAGGATCCAGTTTATCCTAAGACTAATTACACTTAGCTTTTATACGACGTACTCTCACACGGTTGTTAAGCAAATCCCGTTTTAGGGGGAGAGCGAGAACGAGAGGAGATGGGGTTAGAATCCAAGCATAACCGAGCTCACGCTCACCTAGGCGACTTTCTGATCTCAGAAACTTAA